GCTGTGTAGGAGAGAGGGATAGCAAGGCCATCGCCATGATGATAAAACCAAGAGTAAAATGCTGCAATAGCAGTACATCATTGTTTTCATGGAAGTGATTCACTGACAAATTCAGAAAATGCATTCGATACCATAATTAAATTTTACTTTAGTGACAGGAACAAACTTTTTTTTGAAACCCGTTTCTTTTTTCTTTTCCTTTTTCCCGTGTTTTATTTATATTATTTTCCATTTCCACCGAACAATGTGGTATCAGGGTTTTAAACAGTCAAAATCCATGTATGTTATAATATTCATCACAATACTATTAATAATGTAACTACAGTTATAATAGTATATGATATCTTCATCATCAAATTCCCTCCACATTATCCTTCCCTCTTTTTTATATCTCCTCTTTTCTAAGTTCTATTTCTATTATTTAACCATTCGTAAAATTCATCCCACGTTAAGAAATATTCAGTTTCTTCTTTATCTTTAACACTAAGTGTTAGTCTATCCATTTCTGTACAATCTAATATTTTCTTAATGACATTGCCATCTGACGGTATTTCATCATTTTTCCACTATTGTACAAATACAATCCTAGCTGCAGTTAATATACAATATTTTTTGGAGTATACGACACACCTTTTTCTCTCAAAAAACAGGGTGAAAATCTGGGTGCCTTTTATACACAATACAGCATTTTTGGCCTCCCCAAATCGTGCCCCCTTTGCAAAAATGGCCATGCATAGCCTTTAGGAGGTTTCCAGAGTGCTCCTGGGGGCTGGGGAGGGCAGAAATGAGTGAAAAACGGGCTGTTTTTTGCTTGTTTTTGCCCCCCCCCCAGCCCCAGAAGCACTCTATAAGCCTCCTAAAGGCTATGCATGCCCTTTTTTTGACAAAAAATGGGCCCATTTGCAGAGTGCAAAAAACTTTTTTAAAAAAATTTGCCTCTTCAAAATCTTGGTGCGTCTTATACCTTGAAAAATACGGGTATGTATTACCAGATGCATAGTCTTTTTATCATATCATAACCCGTTTCTTTACTGCACCTTCCACCTTCTTCCTACCAATCTGGTCCCACTTCCCATCTAATGGGGCCAGAGGTTGATTGCCAGCTCTGCCAGCCTCATCTAACATTGTAGCTTCCTTGTAAATCCTTATCTCACTCAAACCTATACAAAGCCAAACCCCGCCCCAAACAAAAAAGCGCATTCTCTTTCATGGCATGGCTTGAATCAGATGGAGAGTTAGCTTTGGGATTAAATGCAGTATTGTGCTTTTAGCTGTATTTGTGGCAGATCTTGTTATTTCGTACTTATCTGAAAGTCTTTCAAAGCAAACAGAAACAAAGCACGTTGTTTATACTTTCTGGCATTAAGTGGGAAACCATCCATCTCCAAGAGACATGCAAACATAGCTCTCTCTCTCTCTCTCCATTTTGTTTTTTTTAAAAAGGCTTATTTTGTGTCTCCATTGACAGGCCGCTCTTAGCCTCCATCCCATCTTTTCAACTCTTGTAGTGAATTATGGTTTGCTGCACTGGGGATAGAAGCTGTTCTGTGGAAGTTGGCTTGAAGGGTCTGTTTTAAAGTAGGCTCTTCAACGCATGGACAAGTCATTCAAGACTTCACAGGATAGCAATAGCAATAGCAGTTACACTTATATACCACTTCATAGGGCTTTCAGCCCTCTCTAAGCGATTTACAGAGTCAGCATATTGCCCCCAACAACAATCTGGCTCCTCATTTTACCCACCTCGGAAGGATGGAAGGCTGAGTCAACCTTGAGCCNTTCTGAGCCAACATTTTGGTTGCTAGGCAAGAGCGTTGTTAAGTGAGTTTCACCACATTTTACAAGTTGGCCATGCCCACTCAGTCACATGACTGCCAAGCCACTCCCACCCGGTCACATGGCTGGCAAGCCACTCCCACAAAGCAGGCCGCACCTATAGAAGAGGTTCTAAAATTTTTTTGAAACCCACCACTGGTATAACTACACTAAACTTTTAAAACTGTTTTCCCCTGAATTTCCGTAAACTGCATTCTTCAATACTTAATGAGAAACATGTAGTGATTTAAACATTTTACATCCTGAAATTGGCCCAACCTTTTAAATTGGACTTCCCTGCTTAGTGATCATAACTAATGGTTGTTGACAGTAACTGTATTAGGCGAACCCTCTTTAAGGCCTTGTGAGCTAAACACAAGGGGTATTGCGTGGGTATTAACAAAATATCTCAGTGGCTGAAAGTATGTGTCAGTGTATACAGTATAAGTTGTGGTTCCTATGCAAGGCTTGGTAAAGACGGATGAGCAATCAGGATGTACTGAGTGACCAGGGCCTTTGTGAATTTGGTGGTTAGATGAACACAGTGTCTTGTGGCACCTTAAAGTCTGATTTCGTATTGCATAAACGGTGAACTTTGGTTCACAAAAACACGGAAGATCATGAATGGGTTAACCTTCAAGGCATCATAAGGCAAGTTTTTTTTTTTTTGCTGTTGTTCCAGTAGACCAATGCAGGTGTCCTTTGAACCAGAGGTGGTATACCGGTACCGGGCGAACCAATAGCAGCGATGGCAACAGGCTCCGCCCACCCACCCAGACATCATCACAGATGCTCTGCACATGCGCAGAAGCGCCGCGTGTGAGCGCTCCCCGTTCCGAACCGGTAGGGAAGATAAGAGAAAACCATTACTGCTTTGAACCCTGCACATGAAAAAGACAAGAGAACAAAGCAGCCGTTTTCAGCTTCTGAATTCTGAATTTAATTCGTCTTGTTGGTGATGATCTTTCAACTCTTAGGTGGCTTGAGTCAAGCATAAATAAGCGATTGCCTGTATCTTAATATTCCACTACAATCTATAACACTAGCGATGCTCTGTTAAAGGGTATATCACAGTGATGGTTAACCTTTTTGGTGACGAGTGTCCAAAGCGCACGCCCCAAACCCCAAAATGCAATGTGAGCGCCCCCCCTGCCCATGCACCCCCACCCCCTTGCCCAGTTTTGGCTTCCAGGTTGGTGCAGGAAGCTTTCCAGGCCCAAAACGGGAGGGACATGCATGCATACGAACCCCCCAAATGCAATGCAAATGCCTCCTGTGCATGCATCCCCCACATGCGCCCTGCCCCCTGCGCATGCGTGATAGAGACCCAAAGACCAGCTCGCTGACGGGAGGCATACCCGCATGTGCGGTGGAACTGGGCTGGGGTGACGGCTGGGGTGCCCGCAGAGAGGGCTCTACATGCCACATGTGGCATGCGTGCCATAGATTCGCCATCACGCCATCAGACTGAAAACTAAAAGTATGGATAGAAAAGCATGTTTAACAGCGGAACAAGATGCTGAAAAAATTTCTATGCAAGGTATATTTTTTTCCAAGTCTAGGGTGAAATATATGTAACTAGCAATTCAAGTGTTAGTGCCATTTTGAGCAGGGGAGCGTCATTGGAAAAATGCAAGATAGAAGATAGAATTCTTTATTGGCCAAATGTGATTGGACACACAAGGAATTTGTCTTTGGTGCATGTGCTCTCAGTGTACATTAAAAGCCAAGATACATTCGCCAAGAATCATAAGGTACAATGATAGTCATAGGATACAAATAAGGAATCAGGAAACAATCAATATCAATATAAATCGTAAGGATACAAGCAACAAAGTTACAGTCCTGCAGTCATAAGTGGGAGGAGATAGGTGATAGGAACGATGAGAAGACCAATAGTAATAGTAATGCAGCCTTAGTGAATAGTTTGAAAGTGGTGAGGGAAATATACATATTGTATGCAGAGTATCCAACTACAACTTCTAGAACTTAAAAAGAATGGACATAATGGAGTTGTTATTGAGTTCCACTAAAGGCTCACTGCCATGGAGAAAACCAGTCCAGTTACATCAAAGCTCCAGCTCAACAGAAGGAGCTAAATACCGTCATCTGAGGCCTTATGACAGACACTAAAACAAGAGTATCTGGTTTCTGTTTGTTTAGTTGAGGGGGGGGGGGTTATGTGTGGACCCACAAATAGTTTTGAAATCTTTGTTTTAGGTTTTTATCAGCTTTTTAACCAACATTACATGGCTGGAGGGTGCCCATCCTCGGTCCTTACTTTTANTGGCCTTCAGGTGCCTTGGAAAATAGCTTGACCCCTTCCTCTCTGTGGCAGCCCCTCAAATATTGGAACACTGCTATCATGTCGCCTCTGGTCCTTCTCTTCACTAGACTGGCCATGACCAGTTCCTGTAACAGTTCTTCACATGTTTTAGTCTCCAGTCCCTTAATCAACCTGGTTACTCTTCTCTCTGAACTTTAGTTTCTAGAGTCTGAACATGTCTCTTGAAACCATGGCAATATCATTAGACTAACAAAGCTAATTTTGTTCTAGTACACAAAGTGAGGAGGCAATTGTCACTGTCAGTTTATGAGAGTGACATTGTCATTAACAATAGGGAAAATGCCACAATCTTAGGCCCCATGGATTTTCTCTGGCCAGAGTTGTGTAGAAAAAAAATGACTTTCTTTCGGGCAAGTGTCACAAAGAAAACAGATCTGTGACTGTTCACCAGAAGTGGAGAGGTGTCAGCAGCCATTGCTTTGTGTGGTGAAGAAAATGGACTGTGAGAACCAGAAGCATAGGGGACCATGTGTTGTAAAAACTATATTCATAGAGATGAGCACATCCTTTGTTGTGCTAAAAAGGCAAGCCAATTCCACCCAACAGATTTTTTAAAAAATAAGGATCAATGTGTCATCTATGGTTAAGCATTGGTATAATCAACATGCCTTAAGTACCAAAATGGAGGAATTCTGGTCCCCAACTCTTTCCCAAGGTGGTTCCCACCAGATCTACCCATCCTCTGTGTAATAACCACATCTGAGCTATTGTAAGAAGAAGTGTGACATCAGAAGACTTATCACTTTGAACACTTCACATCTTGGAACAGCAGACTTTAAAATTTACTATACAAAGGTATTTTTTATATATCTATATATATATAAAAGGACATAACATCTAATTTTTAAACAAGTTTATAATCTCCTCATGAACTTTGTTAATAAAAAAAGAAACAACTGAACAAAAATGTTTATATTATCAAGGCAAAGTTGAATATATAACACAATTTCTTTGCAATTCATTATCTTGTCAGTAACATGACTCCATCAATTAAACACATATTATGTTGAAGGCAGCATATGCAACTTGTATTACAGACATCTATTATCTCCCACTGCTAGTCCTTCCAAAAGGAACTCAAGGTATGTCAGACTATATATGCAAAAGTTGTCTCCTCCTCAATTATTAAAGTGCAACACATCACTTTCCAAGTAGACAAAAAAATAATAATATCCCATGTTTACTGTGCCCACCTGCAGTATATAAACACGGGGAAGCCATCCTACTAGTTTTCACCCCAATGACAGCCTATTATGCTGTCTTCGTGATAATTTGATAAAACAGAACTTAGTGTTCTAAGTTCATCATGAACTAAGTCTGATGAAATTAACCAACTATTTTGGCCTGGATGAATTAACAGCATGCATTTCTGGTTATAGGAGCATCTCATTCACTTGAACCAATGTGATCATATCCTTAAAATGATATGTAAGCTATCAGTAACGTGACTGCTAATACAGGTAAGTCAAAGCTTATGTGCTGTTTGTATTTAAGGAGATGCCCACGACAAATTCTAGTTTATTTGCTGAATGCCTGAAAGATGCATTACTTCATCCTAAGCCAAAAACAGATGGGAAAAAAAGTAAAGGCAATTATGAATTAAACTTGGCTCAAATCTTTTAAGATGCAGCATTAATAAGGATGTCCCAAGGGTGAAATTACAAACCATCTGCAATAAATTCAGCATTCTTATTCTGGCAGGAACACTTGATAGTAAATCAGATACATCTCTGCTGAAATGCTGGTTATTTCAAATGGAAAAAGGTGATAAGGTATTCTCCAAACCAACCAGGTTTAAACATTTGAAAGTACATTCATGTTTTTGTAAGATATGATTAGCAGCAATAATAAATCTAATTATGCTATGCATATTTATGTTAGCCAAACCCTGGAGCAGTAGTAGAAATCTTCTACCACAATGACAAGCCCTTTAAGATTATACTGTCAAAGAAACAATGGAACTCCTGGCAGAGGCATTGGAAATAGAACTTATGTCTAAAAACACAAAGTATGAATGCCAGCTTCCATACATCCCTCCAATTTAAATTTGCACAACTAAAAAAAACCCTAGGAAACTTGAAAACAACAACTGCAGGACTAATTTATTTTTCTCGTGTAAAGGGACTCCATATATATTACCATAGTGATATAGTGAGGAAATCAAGGGTTAATGATGTTCCTATGAAGGCCACACTGGTCTGGTCTTCTTCAAGTCTGACAAAGGCAACTAAAAGGTAACTAAATCATCTCTTTCCTTAGACCAGAGTTTCCCAATCTTGCCAATTTTAAGGACTTTCCAGAATTCCCCAACCAGCTGTCCTAAAAAGGAACAAGATTGGGAACTGCCTAAGGTAACTGTAAAAGGAGGAGTTCACAACTTTGCTTAGTCATATTTGAATTCCTTTGGACAATACATTTAGTGTTTATATTTTTAAAGTACAACTTTTCAATTTCTACTCTACCTTTTTAAATTTTATTTTAAAATCAGACAATAGACACACGGTCAGTAACTGCCCCACCAGCCAGAGGATCACACAGACAGTAAAATTGACAAGCAGAGAACAAAACAGAAAAAATATTTTTTTTAAAAAAAAAAACCCAAAAAACACCAACCCTGAAAGATTTAAGAATACCAATGATGATAGGGTTACAGCACTCACCACACGCACTGGGGGGGGGAAAAAATCAGTATTCTTATGTTTACGCTTTTGACACGAAAAAGTTCGGAAATGCTTTTTATTCTTCTCGTTTAAAAAAAATGTCGACAAAACAGCCATTTTGTTCAGAAGGTAACAGCTTCCTTTATAAATGGAAAAAAAGTAAAAAAATGTTTATTACAAAAACAGCACCGGTTGCACTGATAAAGACTGAGTGTTTGGCAAGAGAAGAGTTTGTCTTGGTAACTTTGGCAGCCCCCAACCAGCCACGACCCAATTTCTCTGCTCGGTCACCTTTCTCCAGAGGAGAATGATATGCAGCAATCTGCTTTCCCTTCTTTTGCTGACCTTAGCGCCTCTCGGATTCCAACAACTGCGACAAACTGTATTCTATTTCCATTGGATAAGGTCACTCCAGGATTCTATGCTATGGCAATCTACTCATTTGAGATTAGAAGTTTATTTTATGTTCAGATACAGAAATTTTCCTGACAGATTAGAATTGATAGATAAAACAGATGTATAATACTACTGATGAAGGTGGATGTGTATATATTTCTATCTTTAACCCACTCCCTCCACATTAAAAAAATGGTATCTATTTTGCTGTACTCTTTGTTTCTTTAGCTATTGCAAGTCTTTGGGAGTTCCCAGATAGTCCTTGGCATTCCTACATAAAAACAAGGGCCAAAAATAGTTGTCGTAACAAATCATGAAAAAAGAAAGGTGTTTTACATTGACATGCCTGTTTTTTTTATAACTGCATAATTCTGAAGCTGAAGTTCTCTTTTCCTCTTTAAAAATGTTTGAAACCTGGTTTTGATGAAATTAAGAGTGAAAACCTGGATCACTAAACAATCCAACGAGGCTGGCACAAGAAAGTACCTTAATCTTTCAAGAAGCCCTTATTATGTTCAAATTCTCTCTGTGTAGCATCTTTGGAGATCATGGAACATATTTCATTAACAGAAAATCAGCTTTTCAGAGCTTAAAAGAAAAGGAAAACAATTCTCAAAACAGACAAGCCTTGGTTACCCAATAAAATCTATATTCACATTGCTAATCTAAATAAAATTCATGTAAAACTGAAGCAAGTAACAAGGCACATAAAAAAAGAATGCTTTTGAGGAAAAACTTTTCTGGGAATATTTTCTGGACGCAAAAAGTTTGGTCTGACTTGTAGCAGATCATAAAGATATCAAAACTGAGAAAAGCTGCGACTGTTCCATGAAATATCAGATTACCAGACATGGGTCTGAGCATTTCATTTTGTCTTCCAATGCAGCCAATGTTGTGTAAATCTACAAGAGTGTTAACCATCTTCTACTTTATGGTCAAAAGGAAATAAGAATGCTCTTCCAGAATTACTTCTAACTTTACAATCTCCAGAACAGAGGTCGTATTCTGCCGTTTTGGGCGAACCGGTAGTGGTGGTGGCGGGAGGCTCCTCTCACCCGCCCAGACGTCATCAGGGACGCTCTGCGCATGCGCAGAGGTGCTGTGCGCTCCTGGTTCCGAACCGGTAGCAAAGATAGCATTTCATGCCTGCTCCAGAGAGGTCGGCATTGGAGTGTCCAGAATTCCCAGATGACATGACCAACTGGAATAAAGAATTCATGGCTAACACCTTGTGTTTAAGACCTACAGTTCCTCCAGATGTGAGGAAAGACAGGTCCTCTTTCCAAATGGCATCAAGATTACCTGCAATATTTTACTGCTGTTAGATCGTTGTTGGCAGATAACAACTTGTGTGTGCATTTTTCTCTCTCCCAAGTTTTTATTGAAGGCTTAGATCCATTCTTAAAATGTAAGAGGATCCACGGTAGAGGGAAAAGATTTTACACAAGAAGGAAAAGAAGAGCAATATGGGAGCTCCAGTCCAGATCTGTGGTAAGAATGACAAGGGTTCCACAGCTGCAATACTAATAAGAGTAATTTAACAAATTTCTCCCCCCACCTTCCCCAGAATGTGGTGAATGGAATGCAAAGAATAGCACCTATCACTGTTTCTTTGCAGTGGGACCTTTAAGAAATTCTCAGAATATATATATTGTAACAGATCCTGTTTTGCCTTAGTGTAGCCACATGTAGGGGAAGAGTTAAATGCTGAAGAAGCATTAACATAAACAGGGCAATAAGCACATGAGAATGTAGGAACAACCACAAACTATCTTCTCCATTTTTCAGAAAAAAATCCCCCTTCAAACAAAACAAAACAAAACAAAAAGCTATCAAGGAGAATCTCAGCTAAGTTTACAAGCAGAAGTCATTTCAACCAGAGATAAGGAAATTCCAGAGCTTTTCCTACAGAGGATGGATTATTTTACAGCAGGGAACAAGGGCAGTTGAAGATCCAACCATATAACTCCATAGGATAAGCACTGGTGGCAAATGTTAGGCCTGAAGGCTGAGATGGTTTTATAGGCAGCATTAAATTCCTACAGGGAGTAATTAGGGATGAAGGAGGAAAACCTGAAAGGAAGCTTTCAAAGCAGCAGGTCCTACCAAAATATGCCTTTCAAGCAATAGGGCCAAAGATGTGGCTTTGATATGACACATGGGTGAATAGTATGTGTAGTTGCTGTCTATATGCCTTCCGGTGAAAGCAATTGCCTACTTAAGATCACTCAGGTCTCTTCTCTTTTATGTCAAAAAGCATTAACTAGAGGCTCTAGTTGCCTTAAAGCTATCATTACAGATCTCTAAAACCATGGAGGTGCTAACTAAGAGCAATAGGAACCTTTCATTAGGAGACCCATAGGAAGAAAGACTGTTTATAATTCAAAACCAAGCTTATTTATGCCCCAATCCGTTTTCGGAAGCATCTACAAGACAACATGAACCTGAATTTGCCCAACTGCATTCTTTCAAAATTGATCGTGTGACCTGGCTTTCCAGATCTGAACATAGGCATGTCCTGGGTAGAGATGAGGCAGTGGGGGGAAAAGGGGACCTTAGGGATGAAGAATGAAATATATAACATCCAGAAAGAAAGAAAAACATCTTTAAGAGTAAGACTCTATCTCACTACAATATCTCTATATTGTAGACATTGCATTCTTTGTCAAAGAAGGAACATATTTATGCTCTAAAGCAGGGGTGTCAAATTCATGGCCTGCGGGATGGATGCGTCACATGCTGGCCCCGCCTGGTTTAACGAAAGGGGACGGCCCAAGTTTGACACCCCTGCTCTAAAGGTTCCTCATGACCCCGAAGCTTGAAATAAGGAAATTACTTTAATGAAGGTAGGAATATAGCAAAACCAAAGTTTGTTCCAGTGAATATTTTCAAGAATAAATTATGCATAGAACTAGTAGCGCCCTTAGTCAAAATGTGCTTTCATTATTAATATAATTCAAATGAATATTCAGATTCCTAATTAGGCTGTGAATTGCAATGTTAACCTAAGACCACATGGAGAAGCTATTCTGTTCTCTCAATCACTGATGGAGGCTCTGGAACATGTGGATATGACGCAACTCCCCAAGAACCTAGAAAACAGATAAAATGAGAGAAGTGGGGAAAAAGGGGCACAGTTCAATCAAAAATGCAACAATAGTGTTATAGTAAAGTTGACTAAAATACCAAGAAAACGAGCTGAGAAACAAGCCACCAGGTTTCGTAGCTCATTGGGTAAACAAAAGTGAGGCTCACAATAAGCAGAACAATAAGGAAAACACGGGAACGTATCCCGTAACAGAATGCATCACGAAGAATGGGGGATACTTCCCACCTCTCCATTAGGATCAATCCTCTTGTAGAGACATAAGCAGCAAACCTAGCTAAACGGATGTTGGCCAATTGTAAGACACTATTAGAGGACATCGAATTCCCCACAGGCCAAAGATTTTCATTACTTGGAAAGTAAAACAAAAGGCGAGTGCCTCGTCACACTTTCTAGTCTTGGCAATTTTCAGAGTGGACACAACCCAGAGCCAACGGGAAAGTAACTGTGCGGCAGATATTCCGACGGAGAAAGGCAGTAAGAAGATGAATGCAGGCATTATCGACTGGAGGAATTACCAGTTTGTGTTCATTTGTTTATAAAAAGGTGCACCAAGAGTGTTTCCTCCCCCTCCCCTTTTCGTATGCTTTATTATTCTCATGACTCCTTGTGAACTGGGAGGGCCTGACCCCATGGCAGGCTGCTGTGGAGAAGCAGCACTGGCTTCAGTCAGGATGATTCCTCAAGTGCATTGACAACTTGCTCCAGGATGTCTGGGCAGTGATCGGCTATCTGCTGGAGAATGGCATTTGCAAACTCTTGTAGCTCTGCGCTGTCCTTCTCGGCCTTTTCCAGCTCGTTGTGAAGCTGCAAGGAAAGAAAAGAAAAAGAAAACTTTCAGTCCCTGCAGCAGGCTTCATTAAACGGCCAAATCAAGATTCAATTTTCCCTCTAAGAGTTGTTAAAAAAAGGCCTTTGCCATGTTATTTGCAGGCAATTGTATAATCTGAATATACTGTATTTTTTGGAGTATAAGATGCACCTTTTTCCCTCAAAAAAGAGGGTGAAAATCTGGGTGTGTCTTATACACTGAATATTGCATTTGTTGCCTCCCAAAGCCCTGCCCCCCTTCACAAAAATGGCCGTGCAGAGCCTGTAGAAGGCTTTCAGAGAGCTCCTGGGGGCTGGGGAGGGAAATGAGTGAAAAACAGGCTGTTTTTTGCTCAATTGTGCCCCCCCATCCCCTAGGAGTACTCTATAAGTCTCCTTAATGCTATGCATGCAATTTTTTTTGACAAAAAACGAGCCCATTTTTGTGAAAAACGGGCCGTGTTTTGCTCATTTTGGGGGCCCTCCACCCTCCAGGAGCACTCTGCAAGCCTCCTAAAGGCTATTCATGCCTTTTTTGGGGAGAAATGGGCCCATTTTGGAGAAAAATAAGCAATTTTTGGGAAGTTTGCAGAGTGCAAAAACCTTTTTTTTAAAATTTGCCTCTTCAAAACCTTAGTGTGTCTTATACTCCGGTGCGTCTTATACTCCGAAAAATACGGTATACTGAAATCGACTGCAGTGCCTTGATCCATTAGATACAAGTAGTTTTTGATTTGCTACAGTTCGCCTAGTTCAACGTTGCAACGGCATTTTTAAAAAGTGACTTATGATTGTTTTTCATACTTACGACCGAAGCATTACTGTCATCATATGATCAAAATTCAGACACTTGCCAACCAACGTATATTTATGACAGTTGCAGTGTCCTGGGGTCATGTGTTCACTCTTGTGACCTTCTGACAAGCAAAGTCAATGGGGAAGCCTGATTCACTTAACAACCATATTACTAACTTAGTAACTGCCATGTTAACAACTGTGGCAAGAAAGGTTGTAAAATGTACTTAAAACAGTGTTAATAAATATGAACCAAATATAATTCTAAATGTATAATCTTATTAAATATTTTGTAGTGATACTATATTGAAAAACTGGAATAGTTAAGTAAAGCCAAGCTACATGGAGGTACCACAGTATTTTATGCAAAGACATCTATGATTTTGACCAATTTTAAGTTATGGCTGATGAAAATATGGCATCGCCAGTGAAGGCTCTCAGTGAATCTGGAGCACCAGGAACTGGCAGAAAAAGCTGGTTATTTACACACTTTTTAGTTTGGATTCAAATCTAGATTTAGCACAAAAATAGACTTGGTCACTGAATTTTTGCAGCAAAATTAGATATAACTGATATTCCAGAATGGCTTTTAATGTAACAATTTATCACATTCATAGGACTACCAGTCTCTAATGGACTCTAATGGCAAATTATAAATATATAACATTAACCCTTTGGGACCTGTCTTGGAGATCCTGTAAAATTCTATGTCATCTTCCATATTATTTAATATCTGTATGAAGCCATCAGGAAGGACTGTTTACAGGTTTGGATTTTGGAGTCAATTGTTACTGGAAGCTCTAGGTTGACTTCTAAAGTCTTTGGCTGTCTCCAGATGGTAAAGGTAAGGTATTAGAGAATGAAATTGAACTTGTCCTATCCCAAGACTAAGCTTGCTAAACCCAGCACTGAATACTGAGCAGTCATATAAGTGGACATGCTTTTAATCAACTTAAAACCCACTGATATTGACTATTTCTTGCTAATCTACATGGGAATAATTTACCCTGAATAGAAAAGATACAAAATTATAATGGACTTTTAAGAACTATGAAAATTGCTAAAAACCTAGTTCATGGAAGACAACCAGTACAAGGAAAAAATAATACAAGCAAACGATGGGCTATCCAAATGATGTCGACTGGAGATATTTGGCTTCTGGGAACATGGTCTGAATTTTCTGGGTGGACTGCTGGCACAAGATGGGTTGCATGTCACAGGAACTGGTAAAAAGGCTTTTGTGCAAACTTGATTTTGGCCAAGTTTGATTAAGAGGGCTTTGGACTCTTGCAGAAACAGAGCCCTGACATATAGATTTCAGATAAATATGGACACATTGAGAAAGAAAGAGAGGTATTGTTTTAATGAGGCCTATTAATGAAAACGTTGTCCATGGGGTTGCAATGGATCAGACACAACTTCGCGACTAACAACAACAATTAATGAAAAAAAATATAGAACCCTGGCTTATTACATTCACAGCCTTCACTGTTGATACTTTAATGTTCAACATAAGAAAGTAAACAAAATGGAACTGATCTGCTGATATAGAAAGCAAATATGATTTAAAAGGTGTGACAGAGTACTGATTTGGAATAATAGATTCCTATGTCTTTATCTGTTACACATTTGTATAGGGATTATAATATGATTATCTATATGCTTAAATGTTCTGCTTTATGTTACTGGCTAACAGATGTTTTGATTTATTCAAGTAACTGAAGAATACAGTTATCTCGACGCCAGGAAGAAGTATTATTTCATGAATTCTGAGGTAGTAGCAGCTGACATTACTTGAGAAAGGGTGGGTTTTAATAAGGAACCAACTATGGATATACATTGGGGAATAAACCTTTCTGGCTACAAAATGCTTTATTTGTAAGAAAAGTGAAAATAGACATGTATCTGAAATTTACTCTATGTAAGAGATCGTGTTTCAAGTTCTGTGTTCTTCAGATACTCTTTTTTTCTAATATTATACATCTGTATGTTCTTATTATTTATACTGTCAGGATTTGGACATAGCATTGTGGATTTTTTCAGGCGGGGGGTGTGAGTTAAAAGAATTAAAATAGAATACCAGAGAAATTTACATTTGTAGCAAAAGACTACTGATGTATTCTTTGTCAAAAGTTGGGAAAAAAGAATATTTTTCCAGGTAAATATATTTTAGATTTTTTCCCCCTGATGAACAGGGTAAACTTTTGCCCTTTTCTTTCCATTTTTATTATTGTTATGATTATTAATTTTAAAATTATATAACTTTTCTAATACTAATATCTGGGTTTTTTCTATTAGTTTGGGAGTAATAGCTACGAAGCATAAAAACCTCCTTACACTAAAATATACAAAAGGAATTCTGATACGGTGATGTTTATGCTGACTAACTGATCATAGCAACTCCTGTAAATATCAGATTGACAAATTTAACTGGGGGGGACGGGACGGACTAAGTCAAGAATGATACAGAAGCTCAAGTTTGAGGCTCAAGATGGTGGAAGATTTGTTTCACAAAGAAAAGGATTTAAATTCAGTTACTAAACAGAGTCATGCTAAAGCACGAAGAGAAAGATATTTGAGATACAAACAGTTAATAATAGAAAATCCAGCAGCATTAGGTATATAATATGGTAAAAGAAAGATTCAATATAATTACGTGCTTGGAAGTCATAAAAGTTTTTTCTAAACTTTTATTAAAAAAAGTTTTTTTTAATATAAACTGGTTATATATGTATACTCAAATATGCATGATAGAGAAACAAGCAGTTCTTTAGTTTAATGTATCGGTTAAAGCGCTGGACTAGAAAATGGAAGACAGTCACAGAAAGAGAGTTGGGTGACTTTGGGTTATTCCTTCTTTTCAGTCTAACTCATCCCAGAGGATTGTTGTCCTGGGGAAAATAGGACTATTACAAAGCTTCTGACAGGACTTGATATCTTGCATGCATTTATGTATTTATTAGATTTCTATTCCACCTTTATTTTGTACAGGACTGTATAATGTTTTCTTGAGCTGTACAAATAAAGGTTGGATAGAAATCAAATGAATACATAAATGCATGTAAGAATACCCTGAAAAGATACCAAGTCCTATCAGAAGCTTTGTTGCAATAAGTAAAAGAAACAAGAATCTGGGGTGAAATAGACTTTCCACATCATTAGTTATCTAGCAGTTATAAGGAGAATGAAGAAATATAACTGAAACATAAAGCTTGTATCAGCACAATAAATGTGCACATGTATTTTTAGGATCCATATCCATTCTTCAAGACCCAAACAAGTGGTTTACTCTTGCAAAATTGTTTTAGCCATACAATATTTTTTTCAACGAAAGACTCCAGATTTAATACTTATCTGTCAACCTCTTGATATATATTGTGTTTTATTCTGTTTTGAGTTCATGACATTTTGCTGAAGTTTCACTTAGATATTTTTATAAAAAAAACAAAAACCCTTGAAAGCAAAGCTTTTCATATGCAGAATAAGAAAAACATTATCTAGAATAAAAATAGGAATAATGATTTGTTGTAATTTTCAGTCTGACTTACAAGGATATTTCAGATTTATAAAGAGAATATTTTTTTTTTTGCTGAAATACAGCAGTAGCATATTTCTAGATCACCTACAAATCCCTTTTATATAGATCCAATACAAACACACTGAAGATTCTATTCCAGGTTAATTCAAGGGCAGATTTGCTCATTTATACTTTCAGCACCAGAAATGTTTGGAACCCATTTTATAAAAGGGTATACTTTAGCCTTGTTTGGATATAATGATTAATAGCTCAGTAATATACGAACAAGTCTCAGGCTTTTAAGCTATCTTACTCTCCATAAACTGGGGTGAATAGTAATTAGGGCGGGCCTGGGAAAAATTTAATTGGGTCTTTGGGCATGTCTAGGGCAATGTGACATAGATCAGCTAGGAAGTTGTGTACTAAAGTAATTTTACACTCAGGATAAAATGTCCTCACAACATTTTTCTTTTTAATAGATATTATTTTATTTATTCTAATATGGGTTAAGCTGACCGTACTGAATTGGGGGGGATTTTCTATCCATTCTGCTGAAAGAAACATGGAATTCTATCCTTGAATCCTGCACTGACAATATATTTCTGAATTCATATTATTTAAGAATAGCAGATGGCTGTGAAAGTTTGACCATAAGAAAGGCTGAGCGCCAAAGAATTGAGGCCTTTGAACTCTGGTGCTGGAGAAGACTCCTGTGAGTCCCTTGGACTGGAAGGCGATCAAACCGGTCGGTCCTAGAGGAGATCAACCCTGACTGCTCTTTAGAAGGCCAGATCCTGAAGATGAAACTCAAATAGTTTGGCCATCTAATGAGAAGGAAGGACTCACTGGAGAAGAGCCTCATGTTGGGAAAGACTGAGGGCAAAAGAAGAAAGGGACGACAGAGAATGAGATGGCTGGATGGAGGTACTGAAGCAGTCGACGTAAGCTTAAATTGATTCCAGAGGATGGTAGAGGACGGAAGGCCTGGAAGAACGTTGTCCTTGGGGTCGCGATGGGTTGGACACAACTTTGCAACTAACAACAACAACAAGAATAGCAGTAACTACATCTTGAAGTACCCTTATTACTCTAAAAAACTGCACACACTTTCATTTAGAAACTAAAACAAATTCAGGCATAACCAAGGAACTGACATAACCTACTTAAACCCAGTTTAAGCATCCCAATGAAAACATCAAATTCTGACCTGCTCCAGAGTCATCTTCTGCAGCTCCTTCTCCCAAGCTGCACGATTCTCATCCAGGTGGTACGATGTGGGAGGAATGAGTCCTCGGAGAATCAGAGGGTCCCGGTCATGGCATAGGGCTGTCAAATGTCCAATATATAACTTCAACTTGCTACGATTCTGATCAAGGTCTAAAAGAGGCTGAATTACCTAAAAGTACAGAAAACAATTCAATCATATCCTGAAACAGAAACAAAGGGGATATTTAATGAAACTTAATGCAAGAAACTGGAGGAAAGCTGAGAGAAACCACTAACTACTGGGTAAGGGAAAGGGTATGTATGGATCCAGTCTCAGAAGACTTGCAGTCAATTTTTTTAAAACTAAAAAATACTTTTAGGAAATTAACATTTCATACAACCACACCACCCTTTCCCCAAAACTACTATACCTTAGAATACCACTTTCAAATGTTTTGAAAGATGCAAGGAGCCACATTTCTTTTTGATCATTACCAATGAAACATTAGGTAAAGGAAAAGGTTCCCCTCGCACATATGTGCTAGTCATTCCCAATTCTAGGGGGTGGTGCATCTCCGTTGCAAAGCCGAAGAGCCAGCGCTGTCCGAAGACGTCTCTGTGGTCATTTGGCTGGCGTGACTAAACGTCGAAGGTACACGGAACGCTGTTACCTTCCCACCAAAGGTGGTTCCTATTTTTCTACTTGCATTTTTACATGCTTTTGAACTGCTAGGTTGGCAGAAGCTGGGACAAGTAATGGGAGCTCCCTCTGTTACGCGGCGCTTGGGATTCAAACCGCTGAACTGTCGACCTTTCTGATTGACAAGCCCAGCGTCTTAGCCACTGAGCCATTGCGTCCCTACTTAGAATACCACTTAGAATATCTGCATTTGAAAGGTGCAGGGAGCCACATTTCTTTTTGAACATTACCAATGAAACATTAGGCAGTATGAAATGAAATTTCTGACAAATGATCTACAGAATTTCAGCAAAGATGACCAATGGCAAACCTCTGGCTACATCAACGTTGACTGCGAGTAGAACTATGGCTGCACCTGCTGCTTGTCAGCAGGCATAAGGTATCTTTCCAACCATACCCTTTAACCCTAATAATGAATGTGGAAGTGTGATAATCTCTCAGTCAACAGAAACAGGTGCTGGTATTACTTTCAACAGTGTCGATGAATACAGAATTGTTCTGGCTCCTTTGCTATGTTTCCAACACTCGGTGAATGGATTAATGGGCGTGCAATAGGAGGAGCTGAAAGCTTTAGATTAGTGGTGTCAAAATCCTTTCCCTGGTAGAACCCTGTTTATAGTACAACATTGGGATTAACATCTTAGCGCTGTATTAAAGAGGCAGCATGGAATAACGCCACAAGGAGCCTAGGTGGAGAATATCAACCGTCTATGGTTACAGAAGAAAAATTAAAACACGAGGGAGCGTTTGAACAGGTCTTCACTGATTAAAACCAGGAAAACAAACACGTTTTTAGTGAGATGATTGACATGCATCTCCCTCCCATGGATTATGTTCTTATTGAGAGCTAAAATATATCAAAAGCACACACTGCGTGCCTGAAAGTGGAACTTTTTGTCTAAATACTTTCTGCATCTTTCACTTTTGCCTTTGCAGATGGAGAGGAGACTATATTAATAATTGAAAGGAGTTATTTTCCTTATTGCTATCGTCATCTTTATCGCTTGTGGGAAGCCTCCTAAATTGATGAGTATAGTTTACTTTGGAAATGTGCTGAGCCTGCTGCTTTGGAGCCTGGCAGAGCTCTCTGAAGAGTTTGCTTATTTCCCTTGGGACTCATTTGCCTCACCAGTAAGTATGTCTTATCTCTCGACTTCTCCCACATCTAATTTGAGCTGGCCACTTAGCAAGAGCTGCACCACATCCCACAGCGGCAGAGCTTATCTTGAGAGGATACAAAAGCACCTGCCACATAGACAGGGCTGATGGACCGGGTCACAGGTCCTTGCACCACCTACATGCCTTCTATGCCACCCATCAATGAGGGGGTCCTTCCCAAGAGGCAGGAATATTTTTTCACAGGCTTCCTTACCTAAAAAAAAAAAGTGATTCTGCCCTAGCAACATCTCTTCATTTGTCTGTTTTTCAATATTTTTGAATATAGCTTGCCGCTGGATTTCCTAAACTGGCTTCAAAGTAAATTGTAGAAACTGACGATCACGAGATATTATTTAATTAAACGTTTTAAATCTCAATGCTGACAAGAATTTCAACTGGGCTAAGTATTGAAGTTTAATTAACTCCAATAATGTATCTTACAGGATTGTTCTAAGCATAGGTCTCCGATAGTAGCAGGCAGTGGTAGGATTCAATTTTTTTTACTACTGATTCTGTGGGCGTGGTGTGGCTTGGTGGGCATGGCAAGAGAAGGATACTATAAAATCTCCATTCCCACCCCACTCCAGGGGAAGATTACTGCAAAATCCCATTCCCTCCTGATCAGATGGGACTCGGGAGGCAGAGAATAGATTTGGAGGGGGGGGGGACAGTCAGAGGTGGTATTTACCGGTTCTCCGAACTATTCAAAATTTCTGCTACCGGTTCTCCAGAATTGGTCAGAACCTGATGAATATGACCTCTGGTTGAAGGATATGTTTCTTTTTTTTCACTGTGCTTGCCCTAGTTCTTCCCACAAAGTTCTCAGTGTATGATGTGATGTGTTTTGTTCATTGGCTGGTTTGTCTTACAGCCTGATGTTGATGAAGGCTCAGAGAAAGTAACTAGCCTAAAGTCACCGAGTTGGCTTCCACGTCTAAAGGAAGACTAGAATCTGAGGCCCACATTTCTAATTAGATTCAGGCCCTTGGTACCAGTTTTATATCCCATGATTTTGATAGGCATGCCAAGTTCATAAATCTCTAGAAGCCAACCATCCCAAATAGTAAAATCACCACTAAGGTGACAATTTTGTTTGATTTTTCTCATCAACTCGAATTACCAAGGTAAAAATTTATCCTTATGGAACATCTTTCATAAATTATCATTCCCAATGGTAACCTTCTCATAACCAGCTGCTACATCTTACTACGAGGATTTTTCCACTAGTACTTTCCCTTGCCATCCATACCTAATTCTTCTCCTACCTGCCTGCTTTTCTCTGCCACCCAAGTGTTAATTCTTTGACTCCCTGTTCCTCTCTCCTTACTGGCAGCATGAAATGCTGTTTTTATGCGCTAGTTTTTCCTTTTCTTAAAATGTTTGTGAAACTGGCAGTACACTAATACTTATAGGCCATAAGTAGAAAAAAGGAACAAGAAACAGTGATAATGTGATTTTATACTGTTTGTAAGAAGCCATAAGACCTAGATATCAGCTCTTCTAAGATACAACAGGTAAGGAGTTAAGGTTTTTTTTCCTAAAAGAAAAATGTTTTATCAACCCTATATAACAAATCCTAGAGTAAATATAGATACCAAAAAGCAACATACAGTATACTACTGTTAAATCCTGATGAATTTAAGCAGTTAAGAAGCAAGAGAACTGATTTCTCTTAAAGTTATTAGTATTCTTTTGAACCAGACATTTCAAGACTCGGGCAAAAGAATGAGAAGATAACAGATGTGGTTTTTGTATAGAAGCAGAAAATATTTTTATGGTAATTTCATTAGTTCTCGGTATTTAGATTTAAACTACAGTCATGTGAAAAATAAAGTACATCCTCTTTGAGTTCTAAAGTTTTACATATCTGGACATAGTAAAAATCATCTGGTCCTTAGCAGTTCTTAAAAATAGTTAAATGCAACCTCAGATAAATTACACCACATGACATATTACACCATGTCATCATCTGTTTTACAAAAAGAAAAATCTCTGCAACATAATAATATAAATAATAATAACCAACAGCACATTGAGAAGTAGAAGAACCCTTCCCCCAGTGTACATTATCAATAAGAGCCAAGGTGGCGCAGTGGTTAAATGCTAGATCAGCAGGTCAGCGGTTCAAATCTCACCGGCTCAGGGTTGACTCAGCCTTCCATCCTTCCGAGGTGGGTAAAATGAGGACCCAGATTGTTGGGGGCAATATGCTGACTCTCTGTAAACCGCGTAGAGAGGCCTGAAAGGCCTATGAAGCGGTATATAAGTCTACTGCTATTGCTATTGCTAATATTGACTTGCAATGGCAATTGGGACCTGAATTTCCATCGCTAACCATCAATGTGAACATAAAACTTGACTGCATTGTTTAGTGACAGTAATCCTTGCAGTCTCAGGTGCCGTCATTAGCCAAAACCCACAGTCATTATGCGAGGCAACTTCCTGCCAACTTCTCACAACCAAAATCAATGGGGAAGCTGGCAGAAAGTTGCAAGTCTCAGCCAGGCAGGCAGGCAGGTGGTTGCTGAGGGAGAAAGGGAGTACACGGGGGAAGCTCAGGGACGGGATGCAAGGGGATATGTGAGAGCTCTGACACAGGTTGGGGAGGGTGCACAGGTTGGGGTATGAGGAAGGTGTAGGGGATGGCCAAGGGCCAAGATTGTGACCATGTGACTGTGGAGGTGCTGGGATGGCTGGAATGCCAAGGACTGTTCATCACCATGATTCAGTCAGCACCATTATAACTTTGCTGAATGAATGGTCATAGGATAATAAAAAAAGAGGGATAGTAGGAAAACTTATTAATACTTGCTGAAAGTGTTCAAACAGTCATAAGCAGGCTTTGCCCATTGGATACAGTTGGGCTTTTTTGAACATATGAAAAATGTGAAATGGTGAAAAAGTGTGGTCAGGTCCCAAATATCAGAAGGCAAATGGATGTGGTTGATACTTGTCTCTATTTTATCCCTCAGGGTGCTCCTTATTTTTTTTTCTTTTCCCAGGCAGATGAGAACATGCCCAAGCAAAGCAGTGAAACTATTCACTGTTCCTATTTAAAAAGAAAGTTGTAGGAACTGTGGGAGGGGCTCAGAGGCGTTCTCGTTAGTAAAGACGAGACTACACACAGCATGCTAGCTTCCCATGTACTGATTTAAAATAAACGTATGTCAAAAACATACACATTAAAATCAAATCAGGTGGGGAGATTTCGACATATCCACTGCTTTTCCCCGAAAATAAAACCGGATCTTATTTTCTTTTCTTATTTCAGGTTTGAAAATAAGCACTCGGGGAGTTATTTTTGGGGAGGTCTTTTTTTTTGAGGTGGAGGCAGGGAGCACGGTCACCTCATGGCTGCTGGGCCCCTTAACCGCGGTTCCACCACAAATCCGTGAAGCCCTTATCCACGGAGACATAAGCGCGAAGACTAATTCGCACCGTTCTAAGCGCTAAGGAAAACCACAACCCTACCGCGATGACATAATCGCGGAGGGCAAATTCGCGCATTCCCAAGCACTCAG